TTTTAATAAGTTCTATAGAAGAGATCAAACCTTTTTTTAAAAAGTATCTTGAAGCCAAAACCGGTTTGGCTCAGTGGATAGAGCGTCGGCCTGCGGACTGAAAGGTCCCAGGTTCAATTCCGGTCAAGGGCATGTACCTGGGTTGCGGGCACATCCCCAGTGGGAGATGTGCAGGAGGCAGCTGGTCGGTGTTCCTCTCTCATCGATGATTCTAACTCTCTCTCTCTCTCCCTTCCTCTCTGTAAAAAATCAATAAAATATAAAAAAAATAAAATAAAAAAATAAAAAGTATCTTGAAGAAAGCTTTATTCAGTCACAATTTGAAATATCCAAAATGTTATGTTTTGTTACTTGTGAAAGAAGCTCCTCAAAACACAATATAACCTAATAAACTCTCTTCATATTTTACATATAAGTGACAACCAGAATTTGAATTCAGATCTATCCAACTCCAAAACCAGAGCTACACTTGCATCCACTGCTATGTTAACAATAACTAATTTTACTTCTGATTTTAAAATCGAAAATGTATTCATCAAAGTGTAGGACAGGAGGAAGAGATTAGTAATTCTCAAGTTATATAACTATTACAAAACTTAGAGAAACATATACACACACACACACACACACACACACACACACACACACATATATATTTAGACAGAAATACTGTTAAGTGGCTTTTGTTGTTGTTCAGTGAATATTAAGCTGTTTTAACAAGATGCTGCTCTTGAATTAGCATATGACAAACAGGGTTTTAGAGTAACAGTAGTACCTCAACCTATTCACATATATCTTTGGGTGCTGGGCTACCTACTGGCCCTTTCTTCTTAAGGACCTTCACTCCTCATTTTTTCATGACTTATCCTCTCTCTCCAAGCATATTTCCTTTGTATCTTTCTAAACACTCCAGAAAGAGAGAATAGAGGGCATGCCAAATTTCTTTGTTTTTACCTTCTAATTCAAGAAAAGCTCTAACCTCTTTCCTCCCATTTCTCTAAGGATAAGCATTCAAGTACTTTCTCATAAAATAAACGTTCTGTTATGGAATATATACAGGGTGAACTAAACCCTAAATTATTTTATCAATAATTATTTTAAACTTATATTTAATATTATTGAGATTTGAATTTTAGAATTGATTCCTTAAAAATGATCCATAATAAAGGGGAAAAGGCAGTAGGAATACACATAGTTCTTATAAGACATTCAAATGCACTTGCCTCAAAATAAATACATTAACTCATTTTTTAAAAATCCATTCATTCAACCAATAATTGAGTACCTAATGTGTGCCAGGCACTGTTCTAGGTACTTGTAAAACTGTTTCTTTAAAAATCCCCTTTCCTCAGGAAGCTTACCGCTTAGTGGGAGGAGAAAGATAATAAACATAATAAGTAAAGATACTGTTAGAAAGTGATAAATGCTATGGGGGGGCGGGGAACAGAACAGAGTAAGGAAGAATTCCAGGATATTTGGCAAGCTGCAATTTAAAAAGGATGGTCAGAGAGGGTTTAAGAAAGTGTCATTTGAGTAAAAACTTGAAAAAGGTGAGGGAGTCAGCCATGGTGATACTGGGGTAAGAGCATTCCAGGCACAGAAACCAGGGCAAAGGTCCTAGAGTATCCAGGGACAAGAAAGCTGAAAAGGCTAAAGGGAAGCCAGCAGCGGGTAGAGTAGTTGAGTGTGGAGATTTATGTGTGGGGGAGCAGAGGGTACAGATTATATAGGGATTATGGGACACTGTAAGGAATTTGGCTTTTACGTTGAATGAAATGGGTATCCATACAAGTTTGAGCAGGGTGTCATGATCTGTTGTATCAGAATCACTCAGCTGGCTGCTGAGTTAAGAACAGACTTATTGGGCCCTGGACGGTGTGGCTCAGTTGGTTGGGTGTTGTCTCGTGCACCATGCTGGTGCTGGTTGATTCCTAGTCAGGGCATGTGCCTGGGCTGCGGGCTCCATCCCCGGTGGTGTGGGGTCGTACAGGGTGCAATCAATGTCGATGTGGATGTCTCTCTCTCTCGCCCTTCCTCTCTTTCTAAAAACCAATAAAAAATCTTTTTTTTTAAAAAGGAATAGACTTATTGGGAAGGCAAGAGAGACCAGTTAGGAGGCTACGAAAAAAGCCCAGGAAAGAAATATGTACTTCCTATAAACTTTGACAGTAATGGTACAGTGATTACTTTTATGCAAAATAAAAAAATCTGTCAGATCCTGCTAATAAGAAATAACTC